CTTACTTACTTCACAAGCTCCTTGGCTATTTTACTAGCCTAATCATAGCATACTTGAAGCAATAGTTTATAACTGATTACTGGCCCACCAGGCTAGTAATATGGTTGGTTTACTAGCCCAGAGGAGTTTTTACTAGACATTGTTTGACTTACTAGTACTAAATCGATCATAATAATAGTAGTATTAATTAAATTTTGAATATGTACAGTAATTATATATGAATATAAATAGATGAATTTTTATCTTAAATATTTTTGTTTTATTTGTAATCTGCATGTGTGTTTCTTTTGTGGTTGAATCTAGTCAATGGACAGGTATCAGGAGAAGTAACCGCACAAAACGTCAGTGCAAATACTTACGAATACATCGCAGAGGATTTAGACCCTGGTGAACTGTATTCCATCAAAATCTGTGCCTATACAAATGCCGAATCAGGAGAGGAAATCAAACGAGAACAAAGGTTAAGGCCCGCAGGAAGTAAGTACTCTGCCTGAGTGACTATCTCATCCATTTAGATGGAACTACGTATGTAGTGCCATAGAATAGGGATTTATTCTGAGGATTTTTATGGAGTGGATGTCTGCCTACATAACTGGAGAAACCAACTATTGCTGCCACGTTTTTTTCTAGCAAACCATACCCCCTAACAAATTTAATGGAAGCATCCGTCTTAATCCTGTATATATAATTGATATGCATTATTTAATCAAACCCCAAAATGGACAAAATGGTTTTTTATATGCAATATACGAAATAAGAAATATGATTAATTTATTGCAAAACTATAAAAATTTGAATTGAAGTTCTACATCGAAATATATGAAATATTAATTAAAATACGAGAAACAAATAAAAAAGAAAAACATTAAAAATCATTACAAAACATTACATAGTTCAAAAACCCAGAGATTATTAAATTGATTTGTGTAATTTGTATTGTTCAAATATCCTCATCATTAATGCTGGTCATCTCTCAAAATAGCTCATTTCACATTTTACCGCCATTTGGTACGGTTTTCTGCTAGAGAGTGTATTGACTGTTTTCAAATTTTTTCAGTAAGTATTGAAGAAATATGAACACAACACACAACAACACCATTAAACTTGATGCTCTTTTTTCTCCGGTAGGCCCTGGTGCTGTGGATTCAAATTCAGTTGACACAGAAACAACCAATAACGGTGCTAGTATAGTATGGAAGACTAGCGACGAGGGACCTGCGGCCACAAAGTTTGTGGTACGCTACAGGAAGAAGGATGATGGTGAGTGTGTGAATAACTGTAGTTGGAAGTGTATAGTGTGAGGTTTTTATTATTTAATAACTATTTACTATAGTTACTATATATTTTTTATATTAATGTATAAATTCTGCATTAAAAAACAGGCATACAACAATTCAATCCAGTTCTGCACATTTAGTGCAGAATAGAACCCAGCTGGTATAAATAGACTATTCCGAGCTCAGCCATATAATTATGTTGTTAATTTATAATATATTAACCTCTCAATTTTACGATTTACATTGTAGAATCTAATAAAGAACCAGAATATATGGAAGAGGAGATATCTGGATTTGAAGACCCTTTAAGGGTAAACCTAAGAGACTTAGAAGAAGGTACAAAATATGAAGTGATTATAGATGCAATTAATAACGATGGCACGACATCAAGTGATCCAATTATAATTACAACCAGTGGTACAGGTAAGTCACAAAAAAATAATCATTTAATAATAGTAACACATTTTAGTCTGTGCTTCCGCAGCACTTGTCCGATAAATTATCGGAAAGCGGCCATTTGTTATTTTTCTCTGCGGAAACGGGGCCCAAAGTATGAGAATCAGATTATCGGAAAAAGCTCCAAATCTGAAAATGAATAACCCTTGACCAATGTCATATCACGGCCATGCAAAGAATTCTGCCAAGTAGCTAGTTTCTAAGGCAACAGACCTAGTATTTAGTAGGCCTGCCTAGAATCAAACACTTCATAAAAAAAGGGAGAACATTTTTCATGTTTATTAGATATTTTTTAATCCTGAAAAGGCCATAAGTCAATCCTGCTTGCATTGGAGCTTGTTTACCCACTGTGATATGCTTCTCTCATCTTTAAAGTTTGTTCTGAACATTACTTTAATTCAAGTAAGAACACTCTGCTCTCTTTGAATAAATGTTGCAGTGTTTATCAAGAGTAGGATATTACATCATCAGGACACTATTCAACTTGCTGATTTCTCATAAATTAAATAATGCTAAAAAAAATTCAACAAAATTTACCATTTCAACACTTCAATAATTTGGAAGAACCTCTCAATTGAGCATTTTTCATGAAACCTCAAACCATTTTATAAGCACTGTAGTGAATAATTATTGGTAATGTTTTTTATTTTTCTGTTGATACAGGTACAAGTAAGAGTGACAAAGCCTCGATACAGCCGTGGGTAATTGCCATGATTTGTATTATCCTGCTACTAGTCCTAATTCTTCTGCTGCTGTGCTTCATTAGGAGTCAGAAAGGAGGAAAATACAATGGTAGGTTGAAATCTAATTTAATCTACTCTGGTCATTTATTTAGCGCCTTTCTTTACAGATATGAAGTGCTGTAAGTTTTTTCCTGAAAATTGGGTCCACCTGCTTAAGTGTTGCTGCCATCTTGGTGCAGGAGCAGGCAACTCCACCAGGTATCCATTTATACTCCTGGGTAGCGAAAAGCAACGTAGATAAAGTGCCTTGCACAAGGACACAAGCGAAATGCACAGCAAGAAAAATCAAGGTTGCAATATATAAATAACTTTATAAGTTAAAATCAGGGTT